GTGGTAGTTGGAGTGGTGGCCAGCACGCGTGGTGCCTGGTGGACGTAATTCTGTTGCGGCTCCTGTTTCTGCGCAGAATTAGCGCGCAATGTCGTTTGTCAGTAAGCAGGTAGGCTCAACAATCGATATCCAGGCTCTACTGGAGATTAGCGCAGAACTGGGGTTCCAGTAACTCTGTAATCGTGTCGATTATATATATATATATATAATAATATATATATATAATATATAATCTATTATATATATATAATATGTTATATATATATGTATATATATATATATAGTGTATTATATATATATACTTATATATATATATATGTTATATATAATATGATATATATATATATATATAGGTATGTATAATGTATATATATTATATATATGTGATATTATAATGCATATATATATACATTATACATATATATTATATATTATAATATATATATATATATATATACTATATATATATATATCTGGCGGGTTCTGGGTGCGGTTTTGTGGAGCATCTGTGAACGCGAAATGCTTACCGGAACATCGGTGTGCCTATGTGACATGCCGACCTGATCATGGTCCGTAAAGTAGCGTACCCATTATTCACAATATTTGAAAAATTGTTCCAATATTTTGTTCTAATTAAAGGACCAATTTATCCGGCAAATTTAACAATTTTTCTACTTAATCCGAACATCGAAATATTCAAATCACTAAATGCGGGTTAGGCTAACTGTAACGTCAAGTTATGCATACCCCCACAAGAAAAATGCGTGATACAGTAATAAACTAAATGTACGCAAGAGACGCATGCCGAATTAAAGACTAATTTATACCCAATTTCAAAAATTTTGGAATAATTTTGGGTCAACTCGGGGAAATATTCAACACTAATGGGTGGGTTACGTTACTTAACTCATTAGCATACCAATGTAACCATAATTTTGTTTCAAATAAGCTATTCGCATGATTGATGAAAAACTTTACTCCGCGTGCAAGCAAATTTCTCTCGCAGTGTTTAATGGCCACTTCATAGCAATAGAAACTGTTTCTTCACCATATTCTTATAGGATAGATATTCTGCGACTTTCCATTAAATTTTTGCAGGTTCGGCAATATCGGATACCATTAATGCCTGGTGTATTTAACCTTGGAAACTATGTGCGTCAGGCTAGAAAGGGCGTTAGGATTCCTTTATCTTATACTATTGCTCGGTTCTGTGTACACTGTGGGTTTGGCGGGGGCAGGCGTGAAGACCATTTATTGCATAAATTCATTTAAAAATTCGCTCTGCGTGCGCGATCATGTAATTAAGTTTTGTGGTGTTCTGCTAAGTCTGTGTGATTGTGAATTGTGGAGGAATAGGGGTGTACAGTAAAGGATGAAACGCGGTGAACTTTTTAGTTCTGGATTTGAATTTTCTGTACCGTATTTTTTGGCTTTATTAGCAGCAATATGGGGTGAAATATTTGGTAAAGGTCAGGCGGTTCACCCGTGCTTCTCAAGAGTTGAAAAGATTATTATTAATTTGTGACTATCACGAAAAAGTCTATCAGCACATTGAGTAATTACATAATATATTTTCAAGAAAGTGTGGAATTGGTGCTAGCGAAATCTAGGATTAATATGAATAGAATATTTATGTGAAAATTTCTTTTCAAACATCAAGTGCAGAGGCTTTTTTCTCTTTTGTACATCCGGAGTATTATACTAATATATGGGAAATGTGTGTAATGCGGCGCGAAAACTAGTAGTTAAAACAACACACACTTTTCTTCGGCATTTTAGTGGATAGTTACGAAATACTTTTTGGCACTAGTTAGAATTGTAATACATTTTTTTATAATACATTATAAAAGTTGGAATGGATTTGGTAATTTCTAACGTATTCCTTTTTCCTTGTATCATGGCCTTGGGACAATTTAAAAAAAAATAGCTGCCAACGTTTTTTGATAAGATGTGTATTTGGTTCGATAGTCATCCGCATCATCTCTAACAGATTGTTTTCTTTGCTGGTCAGATGGAACATTATGTCCTCCCACTGGGTCCTTTGGGTAACTGAATAGTTTTTTTCTTGTTATTTGGGTTTGAAGTGTTGCTAAATTTATTTTAGGTTCATCTTACTTGCGTTTTCACTATTTTTACATTCCGAAATTGTATTTAAGTGTGCATTTGTTATGCCGTAAAATGTTTTTAATATGAAGTTTACATATTATCTAGGGTTGCCCGACTAACGCGACCGGCTTCCTTCTACGTTTTAAAGTTGGTTAATAAAATTAGTTTATTAGCTGTCTCTTTCTTTGGGCAAAAGTCGGCGAGGGAGCGGCGGTAGGTATCCGCTATGATGAGTAATATAACGATTGACCGTGATGTAGGAACACAGTCACGTTACAACATAGCGAAGTTTTAAAAAATAATGACATTTATCAGAATATGTCGCTTTTTTTGTTGTACTTGTTAGGGTTCGTACCAATAAAGCCATACGGAGTAAAATGCATAGTATTGAGAAAGTTATGTAATGCAGGAAAATATGGGACCCTGATATCAGAAAATGATTAATAATGTTCACATATGTATAGGAAATTACTTCCTCTAAAGTGTTATATAGTGAGATGTCATTAATTGTACGACCTTAATACATTTTTT